TCTCTGTGATCTCCTCTCTCTCTCACTGTGTCTCCTGTCCTGTTGTGTGTGTTTATTACTCAGGGCCTCTCTGTGATCTCCTCTCTCTCACTGTGTCTCCTGTCCTGTCGTGTGTGTTTATTACTGAGGGCCTCTCTGTGATCTCCTCTCTCTCACTGTGTCTCCTATCCTGTTGTGTGTGTTTATTACTGAGGGATTCTCTGTGATCTCCTCTCTCTCTCACTGTGTCTCTTGTCCTGTCGCGTGTGTTTATTACTGAGGGCTTCTCGGTGATCTCCTCTCTCTCACTGTGTCTCCTGTCCTGTTGTGTGTATTACTGAGGGCCTCTCTGTGATCTCCTCTCTCTCACTGTGTCTCCTGTCCGGTTGTGTGTGTGTGTGTTTATTATTGCGTTAGAAACTCAAGTTGACTTATGAAGGTATTGTTTGACTTTCTCAGTAACTGAAGCACTAAATTAGTCATGGAGATAGTGACTCACACACTCAATATTTCATGCTGTTCTCCTGGCTCTGTATTATTTGATCTGCTCCCAGTTATCAGATGACTTTTCTTTCTCTTCTTCCTCCAGTTCTCCTCTCCCTCCCTCGCAGAAGCAGGGTGAGAGGATTCCTCTGTCATAAGAATCCAGACTCTGGTTTCCTTGACAACAGTCACCAGGCAACTGTCACCTTGTCTGCCTCGGCAAACCACCTTTCTCTCTGCCTCTCTGAGCGCCTGGGGTTGTTCTGTATTGTGTCTCTGAGTAAGAACCTGACTGACACACTCACAGGCTGACAGGCTGACTACACTGACACAGTCACTGACTGACAGACTGACATGCTCACAGGCTGACTGACACACTGACACAGTGCCTGACTGACACACTCACAGGCTAACTGACACACTGACACAGTGCCTGACTGACACACTCACAGGCTGACTGACACACTGACAAAGTGCCTGACTGACACACTCACAGGCTGACTGACACACTGACACAGTCACTGACTGACACACTCACAGGCTGACTGACACTCACACACTGGCAGAGTGACTGACACACTGACAGGGTGACTAACACACTGACACACCCACAGACAGACACAGTGA